ACATTATCTATCTCTACTGGTGCTGTCACTGATAAAACTAGCTTGATAAGGTCCATGTCTAAACATGCTAAGACCTAGCACTGCAGGTGCTCGAGTGTCAACAACGTAAAAGTCCAACATCATGTCCCTTTCCTTGTATTTGCATTTGAGAGTGCATGTGCCTTTTACTGGGAGCTGTTCACCACCATAACCAGTCAGTCTGCGCGTGGTGGGCTGTAGCTCACACTCAGATGTCAAGCTTCTGTACTTACTCAGAAGAATAATGTTTACTTGTGCACCAGTGTCTAGTTTGAATTTTAGCTCTGTGCCTTGTCTTCCTATCTCAATGTCAGCAAAGGCTTGCTCGGTCTCTGATATGACTTTTCTGTGTCACTGAATCAAAAAACAGTTCATCAGCATTTGACTCTTTGATTGACATTTCATCTTCACTCACTGTATGTACTGTTTTTCCACGGTAAACTCTGCACACTTTTGCAAAGTGATTCCATTTTCCACATTTAGTACACTGTTTGCCTTTAGCTGGGCAATTCCCCTGTTCGCCATGCACTTTGTATCCACAATATCCACATGTTTTGGGGCGTTTGGAGTCTGTGTGGCTCTGTTTTGGAGTTCTGTCTGACTCCGTTCTGAAACATGCTCTCTGGGCACTGGAGGTGTGCTTTGATGTCTGCCTGACTGCGTGCACTGCTTGTTCACGTGATGCGCTCGTACTGCCGCCTGAAATGGTTTTCATCTGAACCTGTGCTAGCTCGTGAGATCTAATCCAACATTCAAAAGTTTCTCTAACTCGCGGTGAGTGTATTCCAAATACAATACGGTCCCTGACCATCTCATCCTTGTTTGCATAATCACAGTCTTTCACAAGCAGACGCAGCTCAGTGACAAACTGTTCAAACGATTCGCTAGCGCCTTGTACTTTCTCATGGAATTTGTACCTAGCGTAATTGTATTGGTCTTTGGCACAACATATGCTTAAAAACGATCGTAGTATGTTTTCAGTACCTTTGATTCAGCCTTGTAAATGTCTCTCCCTTTTTCACCGATCCAGAGGAGCAGGTAGCTGCACTTTTCCTCTTCTCCTCTTTCCTTCAGAGGACCCGTGAACATCAGCTCCACATGCTGTTTGAACTTACGCCATGCATCGGGTAGATTTGTAGACCCCCAATCCATTCGAGGTGAAGGAACTCCAGCAAAATCCATCTTTTAGTCCTTTTACTCTGACACCATTTCTTGTTTTGTATGCTTTGTACAAAATAATAAAATGCAGGATGACAGGATATTTATAAACATAGCTCTTTATTAACTAGCTATAACTGGCATGTTCATGTGTCTCCCGCCATGATCATCTTTAGAATGACCTCACTACCTGGGTGGTCTTAACCAATCATAGCACAGTATGATATGACAGTAGAATGCATCCAATTACAATTCAGTATGCTGACACATATGTATATTACAGGGAGAAGTTGCTCTCGCAGGATGTGTTGGTACCATTCTTTATTCATGGCTGTGTTCTTAGGCAGAATTGTGAGTGAGCCCACTCCCATGGCTGAGAAGCAACCCTACACATGAATGGTCTCAGGATGCTTTACTGTTGGCATGACACAGGACTGATGGTAGCGCTCACCTTGTCTTCTCCGGACAAGGTGTTTTCCGGATGCCCCAAACAATCGGAAAGGGGATTCAGAGAAAATGACTTTACCCCAGTCCTCAGCAGTCCAATCCCTGTACCTTTTGCAGAATATCAGTCTGTCCCCGACGTTTTTCCTGGAGAGAAGTGGCTTCTTTGCTGCCCTTCTTGACACCAGGCCATCCTCCAAAAGTCTTTGCCTCACTGTGCGTGGAGATGCACTCACACCTGCCTGCTGCCATTCCTGAGCAAGCTCTGCACTGGTGGTGCCCCGATCCCGCAGCTGAATCAACTTTAGGAGACGGTCCTGGCGCTTGCTGGACTTTCTTGGGCGCCCTGACGCCTTCTTCACAACAATTGAACCTCTCTCCTTGAGGTTCTTGATGATCCGATAAATGGTTGATATAGGTGCAATCTTACTAGCAGCAATATCCTTGCCTGTGAAGCCCTTTTTGTGCAAAGCAATGATGACGGCACGCATTTCCTTGCAGGTAACCATGGTTAACAGAGGAAGAACAATATTTCAAGCACCACCCTCCTTTTAAAGCTTCCAGTCTGTTATTCCAACTCAATTAGCATGACAGAGTGATCTGTTATCTGCCAAGCCATTACAATTATAACTGGCTATACTTATTTCACCACTTACCATAATGAGATACAGGTTTCAAATCTATTTATCATAATATATGTTTGTTAATTTACCAATAAAAAATACCATAGTGATTGAGTGTCCATATAGCTGTACCATGATATTTGCATTGCTACTAAGTAACCTTCCAATTGTTCTCCACTATTCCCCCCGCTAAAGCCCCTCTCCATCCCAAGTTGGGTTGCCATCCCACTGATCGGCATACCACCCCTGTCCCCCCGGATCCCTAGGCCCCCCGAGAGGCCAGGACCCATCCTTCGAAAACAGCACACAGTGCCACCTACAAAACAGAGGCAGGTCAACCGCCAAACGCATTTCCAGTGCTCTCACCTGAATATATATATATAGCTATTAAAAATATATATCTATTCAAATATCTTGCATATCTTCATTTCCATCATTATCAATGAATATGCGTTAAAGTAAAGGATTGTTACCTATAACCCGGATTGCCATTGTATTACATTACATTTTTGTCAAGCAATTCTTATTTTAGCAAACAATTATTGTGGTTCAATCCTATATTATCCCCAATGTAACAGTGTTACTTCCGTCCCTCTCTTCGCCCCTACCTGGGCTTGAACCAGGGACCCTCTGCACACGTCGACAACAGTCACAAAAGCCGCGGCCCTTGCAGACCAAGGGAAACAACTACTTCAAGGTCTCAGAGCGAGTGACGTCACCGATTGAAACGCTACTAGTGCGCACTGCTAACTAGCTAGCCATTTCACACCGGTTACACTAACATCCTTACCCCCTTGCAACAGATGTGGGACACACACACACACACACACACACAACCCCTTTCCTCCACAATCAACCATAACCTCAGATGCGGTTGTTACATCCCAGAGCCCAACTCAAGAAAGGACCTGATTTACAAAAGTATATACAGTTACAGCTGTTTGAGAAAGCATGCAAGATTGAGCAAAAATTTACAAAAAAATTATATTTGAGTAACCTATGTCAAGTCCTAGGTGATGGAGATCAGATCCACCCTCTTCCCCTGAGACACAAACACTCTGGTCCCCCGTTGTAACCATTTTCCCAAGCATCTCCGTGCGGTCAGACCTTTGATTATTTTGTGCCACCTGGGCCACAATGATAAACCCCCTCTCTGATTGTCCGAGTGTGACCCCCTCCCCATGGGTTACTGCAGCTAGTGTTGCCAGCACTGCCACTACCTGGGTGGGGGTACCCCACCGGAATCCCCACCGGCTAGGTACAAGGTCGTCAAGGTTCTCATTAGCAGCTTTGAGAATTTCCTTGTATATTATGCTCTCCCATCAGGGGGCTCTGGCTTTGTTGGACCAACCCTGCCAGGCAGGCTCAGAATCTTGAGGGTGCGGTGCTGCTCTAGTAGGTCTCTGACCGCATTTATCTTTCTGTTTTGGCTGCATATAGGTAACTTACAGCAGGGCCATAAAACAGATGGGGACTTCTCTTTGGTGTATGGGTTGCTCAGGTGGGTGACTAGGATATTGGGTTGTGGACCGTTCCATCATGATAGGACAATAAAATAATAGATTAGATGTATACTTTATTTTAAAATGTATATCCCTCATCTGCACAAAATTGAAAGCTCTCTCTCACAACCCCTGCTCACAGACACACGTTGGTTCTGGGATATGCAACCATTTCCTTTCTCACTCACTTAACGCCACACTTTTCCAAACACAAAAACGCACACCACTACTTCCATCACAATACATCCACACATACCCACATACTGTGCCTTCTATGTCTTCTGTTTGCTATGTTTTTATCTCCACTATGTTGATTGAGTACTTGTGTTCTAATTAATTATATTTGAAGATGTATTATTTCGCTTGTTATCCTTTCTTGTAATAACGTCTTATCCCTTTATAAAATATTATAAATACTATAAATGTGATTTATTATTACAATCCCTACCATGGCTAGTATTGGGTGTTCCATTATTCGACGCCTCTATTAGAACTTTCAGAATAGCCATGGAGTAGTCTTTGTTTCGCGGAACATTTGGTTGTCAATATACAGTTTATAACTACGAGAGCAACAAGCTTCCCTTTTAATCTATTTTCCTTGAAGATTGGGTACAGAACTTTGTGCCGTTCTGCAATCTCCCTCGGGAACTGATCATTCATGCATATATTCGTGCCAGCAGGTCTTTTACCTAGGCTTTTAACCATTACTTTATCCTAAAAGAAAGCAAATTTGGCAACAATTGGACGCTCATATCTCTGTCCTCTTTGTCCGAAACGGTGTACACGTTCGAGTTGGATTTTATCGACAGCATCGAGTGGGATTTGAAGCACTGTAAGAAAGAATCTAGTCTGTATGTCTAGTAAGGCTTCTCTCAGAAAGCTGTTCACCCTTTTAAGTTCCTTAACGTCCGTTTCTATCTTAGTGACTGTCCCTTTTAGCTTTTTTGTATCTTTCTCCATTAATCGCAGCTTTTTCGTCACTCATTGCAAGACTCGCCTTCAACTCTTTTACATCCTTACTGACCAACTCTAGTATGCCCAGTTTGTCATTTATTGACTTCAAACAGATCGCTTTCCACACTTACCAGTCCCAGTGGTGAAAAGCATAAGATGGCGTATTGATGGCGTATTGATATATATATCAATACGCCATCTTGCACGTTGTTGATTGTTATGCTTAGCTGTGACAACTCTACTTCACACTGACAACAAATATGTTTCCCACATCGGTGCCATTTCCTCTTCAAGCTTCACATTAATTAGCTTTGATACAGGGAGGACAGATGTCAAAAGAGCAGGGAAGATGGTAACGAAAGTTGGCAGATGTGAGGGAATGGGACCAATTTGTGTGTGTGTGTGTACGCGTGCGTGCGCGACTGTGCATGCATGAGTGTGTTGTGTGTGTGGGTAGTCATACCTGGCTGTGAGCGGTCCCTGAGCTGTCACTCCGGCTGAGAGGAGCGTCTCCCTGGGAGGCAGAGAGAGCCGACTGCTCCGAGGCGGAGCGTCGTGCGGCTGAAGGGGGCGAGGAGTGGAGGGAGTGGGGGAGGGAGTGCAGGCTGTCCGTGTCTGCATCCTCCTCCTCTTCTTCCTCCTCTTCCTCCTCTTCACCTCCTTGCGTTGAGGTGTTTTCCCCAGCTTCCTGGTGGCAGAGCACCAGGTCCACCAGGTCTTCCTTCTCCCTGCAGGTGTCTGTAGGGATGTTGCGCAGCAGCAGGTACTGGCGCAGGTCTTTAACGCGCAGCGCCATGAGCTGTGGTCTCTGGAAGGCCGTGCCACGCAGGAGGTGACAGGTGGTGCAGCAGCGGAGGTTCTCCTGCAGCACCGAGCACAGGGCACAGAAACTCTTCTTACAGTCCGAGCATATGTGCTGAGAGAGAGGGAGAGCGAGAGAGAGCGAGAGAGAGGGAGGGAGAAAGGCGGAGGGGGAGAGCGAGGGAGGGAGTAGAGAGAGAGAAAGAGAGCGAGAGAGTCACCACACACATTTAGAAGACAGGTGATCCCATCAGACAGTCATGTCCATTCCTCCTGATCAATTAATTACTATATTTAATTAATTATTGGCATCATGGAGTCATTTAACATTCCTGTTTTTGGAAATCTATTAATTACAACTAATCAAATCAAATCACATTTTCTTTGTCACATACATGTGTTTAGCAGATGTTATTGCGGGTGTAGCGAAATGCTTGTGCTTCTAGCTCCGACAGTGCAGTAATATCTAACAATTTCACAACATATACCCAATACACACAAATCTAATAAGGAATGGAATTTAAGAATATATACATTATTGGACAAGCAATGACAGAGCGGCATGGACTAAGATACAGTAGAATATTATAGAATAGAATACAGTATATACATATGAGATGAGTAGTGCAAGATATGTAAACATTATTAAAGTGACTAGTGTTCCATTTCTTAAAGTGGCCAGTGATTTCAATAGGCAGTAGCAGCCTCTAATGTACTATTGATGGCTATTTAACACTCTGATGGCCTTGAGATAGAAGCTGTTTTTCATTCTCTCGGTCCCAGCTTTGAGAGGGATCTGCCAAATTTGCTAGACAACAGCTTTCCAAAACAAGGACTCATTCCCTATGATGTCACCATGTTCTAGGACAGAGGATGACTTTATCCCATTTCTTGGCACAGAAAATCTAAATAATACTATATGGAAAATTGCCCAGATATTCCTGACATTTACAAGCTTATCTCAGTTTACTGAGCCAATTCAGATAAATCGACTGAAAGCCAGTTTGAATGGAGATTTTTCCATATCATTGGTGTGTAAATGAGCTGCGGACTGCTCTGACAGATCCATTCTTCAATCATCAGTGTTAATCCCCGGAACCTGTCCTTTCATGACACAAATATCAAGCTGAGCCACACACACACACACACACACACACGTGTGGTTATAATATATCCCGGGACTGAACCTGCCATCGGCATGGCAACAGGTGTGAGCAGGCTGATAGAGCAGTCTGAGCCTGGAAGCTCGGAGAAAGCTGAACCCTCCAGGGGCTTCCATCACTGTCCCAGCGTGCCACACTGTCAGACAATGCCTAGATACACTCTGCCATTTACCTGTCTGCAGTCTAAGCTGGTGCCCTGGTGTGGCCATTATGATAGAGTACTTCATACGGAAGTTAGAGTTTTCTTTGTTTATTTTTAAGGGACGCATTCTTCCTCCTCCTCATCATTAGCATAATCTTCTATCACACTGTCAGATCCTCATCTTCCTCATCATAAACATCATCATCATCATCATCGTTTTACACACTATAAACATCATCCTCAACACCACCTACCTTGCGCCTGAAGACAGAGAAGGCCAGTCCACAGGCCTTGCAGAGCTGGCCTGCGCTCCCTGAGCTGGTGGGGGGGTAGGTGGAGTACCCGGCGCTGGGGGCAAAGCGGAAGGGCCCCGCCCCGGCCCCGAACCCGGTCTGCTGCCCGCGCACCGTCCCTGTGCCCATCACCTCGTTTAGCAGCCCACAGCATGACGCCCACATAGACGATGCCCCTGCCTACGACACAAACACACACATCATGCACGTCTGTTCTTTTTAAACTAATGTCTCCAAGTTTGAATGCATAGTTTACATTTTACATTTTAGTCATTTAGCAGACGCTCTTATCCAGAGCGACTTACAGTTAGTGAGTGCATACATTTTCATACTGGCCCCCCGTGGGAATCGAACCCACAACCCTGGCGTTGCAACCCTAGCATTGCAAGCGCCATGCTCTACCAACTGAGCTACACAAGTTTAGAGTCCTATTATCCATCCCAGTAGGTTCATAAACAATATGCCTTAGGCAGTACTGAAATCATAGTAGCCTGAAATGCAATCAATACAGTGCCCCAATTTCACCTGTAAGAGAATGTTTCCTTCTTTTTTTTTACAACTTTTGTTGCAGGTCGCATCACTAAGGGAAAGGCATCTCAGAGACTTCTCACTTTATTCGTCATTTGTCCCTGAATCCCACAATGCCTCAGTGTGATCTTCAGCTGCACAACAACCATTCCCCTCGATGAACTACATGCCTTTGTAGCTCCTGAGTTCCTCTACAAAAGGTATTGAAGCATTATAATACAGTCTCCGGAATCCTAACACATTGAAAAATGTGTAGCTGTGCATGACGGCAGCCGGCGTATTCAGAACAGAGGACTGTGAACAGTGGTGCAGAGGTGGATGTTACGGCCTATAGAGCTTCAGAGGAAATACTTAATAGTCTCTCAGACTGGAAGGAACAGAGTGAAAGGCACAAAAAAAGACAGTGAATGTGGGCTGCAAACACATTATTATGAGAACTTTGAGGTTGAAGGTTGAAAATGGTCAAGCACCAGAACCCAAACAGCCTGTCCTAATGAGCTTGTCCGAAGGGGATGTTGGGATTAATCAATATGTTTCTGTCCATTATCTAATGAATAACAACATTGCAGCAGGAAAGTGACCACAACGCTACAGAAAAAAATCCCCTGATGAGAGTAAGGTGAAAACATCTCTATGTAAAGACTTGTATAGTTACTATGGGAGCAGTAGGGTAATTTCTCAGTTATGACAGCCTTATGACCTGGTAGAGCAGGTGCACTTAGGGATATTAGTGTGGTCAAGGACCATAGGAGGACCGTACAGTGGATGTGACATGTTTGCCTGATCAATGTTTACTGACAGCAAGACTGTCCACTCCAGAGCCTGAGACCCAAGATGGTGTGATCTCAGGCGCAGCTCCTTGGAGCATACTGATGAGAGGGTGGGGGAGGGGCAGGGAGTGAGAGAATGTGTCTTCTGTTCCACGGTCTGGGGAATCAATAGCTGACATGAGCATACAGTATGTGGCTCTGTCTGAGTTCAGAAGAGAACACAGTGTATATTTTACGAGCCGTGGTTGCCGCTGTCCACAAATAAAGCTCTGCTCAGCCATGACCTGCCACAATACTCAGGCCTGCCATGTGGTCTGTGATCTTACCTCACTCGCCTGCCTACTTAACCAGCTTGCAGTTACATCATCCAGGAGCTATATGTGGAACTGACTGCACTGAGAAAGAGAGAGGGTCTTCTCCGAAATACATTACAGCAATAAGCTAGTTGTGAAACTGAACAGAAAGGACCACAGCTCACTTTCTAGTTACAATTTTCCTGATAATATTTTGCTTTGTTGCCTTCAGAAAGTATTCATACACCTTGACTTATTACATCATTTGTTGTGTTACAGGCAGAATTGAAAATTGATTAAATATTTTACAAAATCTCACCCATCTACACACAATACCCAATAATGACAAAGTGAAAACATGTTTTAAGAAAAGTTAACAAATTAATTGAAAATGAAATACAGAAATCTCATGTACATACAGTACCAGTCAAAAGTTTGGACACACCTACTCATTCCAGGGTTTTTCTTTATTTTCTATATTTTCTACATTGTAGAATAATAGTGAAGACATCAAAACTATGAAATAACACATATGGAATCATGTAGTAAGCAAAAACGTGTTAAACAAATCAAAATATATTTTATATTTGAGATTCTTCAAATAGCCACCCTTTGCCTTGATGACAGCTTTGCACACTCTTGGCATTCTCTCAACCAGCTTCATGAGGTAGTCACCTGGAATGCATTTCAATTAACAGGTGTGCCTTCTTAAAAGTCAATTTATTTCCTTCTTAATGCATTTGAGCCAATCAGTTGTGTTGTGACAAGGTAGGGTTGGTATACAGAAGATAGCCCTATTTGGCAAAAGACCAAGTCCATTTTATGGCAAGAACAGCTCAAATAAGCAAAGAGAAATGACAGTCCATCATTACTTTAAGACATAAAGGTCAGTCAATCCGGAATAGTCGCAAACCATCAAGCGCTATGATGAAACTGGCTCTCATGAGGACTGCCACAGGAAAGGAAGACCCAGACTTACCTCTGCTGCAGAGGATAAGTTCATTAAAGTTAACTGCACCTCAGATTGCAGCCCAAATAAATGCTTCACAGAGTTCAAGTAAGAGACACATCTCAACATCAACTGTTCAGAGGAGCCTGCGTAAAATCAGGCCTTTCATGGTCGAATTGCTGCAAAGAAACCACTACTAAAGGACACCAATAAGAAGAAGAGACTTGCTTGGGCCAAGAAACACGAGCAATGGACATTAGACTGGTGGAAATCTGTCTTTTGGTCTGATGAGTCCAAATTAGATATTATTTTCTCCAACCGCCATGTCTGTGTGAGATGCAGAGTAGGTGAATGGATGATCTCCGCATGTGTGGTTCCCACCATAAAGCATGGAGGAGGAGGTGTGATGGTGTGGGGCTGTTTTGCTGGTGACACTGTCTGTGATTTATTTAGAATTCAAGGCACACTTAACCAGCATGGCTACCACAGCATTCTGCAGCGATACGCCATCCTATCTGGTTTGCGCTTAGTGGGACTATCATTTGTTTTTCAACAGGATGCACCTCCAGGCTGTGTAAGGGCTATTTTACCAAGAAGGAGAGTGATGGAGTGCTGCATCAGATGACCTGGCCTCCACAATCTCAACCCAATTGAGATGGTTTGGGATGAGTTGGACCACAGAGTGAAGGAAAAGCAGCCAACAAGTGCTCAGCATATGTGGGAACTCCTTCAAGACTGTTGGAAAAGCATTCCTCATGAAGCTAGTTGAGAGAATGCCAAGTGTGCAAAGCTGTCATCAAGGCAAAGGGTGGCTACTTTAAAGAATCTCAAATGTATTTAGATTTGTTTAACACTTTTATGGTTACTACATGATTCCATGTGTTATTTCATATTTTTGATGTCTTCACTATTATTCTACAATGTAGAAAATAGTAAAAATAAAGCAAAAACCCTGGAATGAGTAGGTGTGTCCCAACCTTTGACTGGTACTGTAAGTATTCACACACCTGAGTCAATACATGTTAGAATCACCTCTGGCAGCGATTACAGCTGTGAGTCTTTCTGGGTAAGTCTCTAAGTGCTTAACACACCTGGATTATACAATATTTGCACATTATTCTTTTGAGAATTCTTCCAAGCTCTGTCAGGTTGGTTGTTGATCATTGCTAGACAGCCAATTTTCAAGTCTTGCCATAGACTTTTAAGACGATTTCAGTCAAAACTGTAACTAGGCCACTCAGGAACATTAAATGTTGTCTTGGTAAGCAACTCAAGTGTATATTTGGCCTTGTGTTTTAGGTTATTGTCCTGCTGAAAGGAGAATTTGTCTTCCAGTGTCTGTTGGAAAGCAGACTGAACCAGGTTTTCCTCTAGGATTTTGCCTATGCTTGCTCTATTCTTTTTATCCTAAAAAAACTCTCTAGTCCGATGACATGATGCAGCCACCATCATGCTTGAAAATATGAAGAGTGGTACTCAGTGATGTGTTGGATTTGCCCCAAACATAACGCTTTTTATTCAGGACATTAAGTTAATTTCTTTGCCGTTGTACTTTAGTGCCTTATTGCAAACAGGATACACGTTTTGGAATATTTTGTATTCTGTACAGGCTTCCTTCTTTTCACTATATCAATTAGGTTAGTATTGTGGAGTAACTACAATGTTGTTGATCTATCCTCAGTTTTCTCCTATCACAGCCATTAAACTCTAAAGTTTTTTAAATTATATATGTATTTTTATACCCTTTTTTCTCCCCAATTGGTAGTTACAGTCTTGTCCCATCGCTGCAACTCCCGTACAGACTCGGGAGAGGAAAAGGTCGAGAGCCATGCGTCCTCCGAAAGACGACCCTGCCAAGCCGCACTGCTTCTTGACACACTACTCGCTTAACCCGGAAGCCAGCCGCAAAAAAAGAAACGTCCTCTCACTGTCAACTGCGTTTATTTTCAGCAAACTTAACATGTGTAAATATTTGTATGAACATAACAAGATTCAACAACAGACATAAACTGAACAAGTTCCACAGACATGTGAATAACAGAAATTGAATAATGTGTCCCTGAACAAAGGGGGGGTCAAAATCAAAAGTAACAGTCAGTATCTGGTGTGGCCACCAGCTGCATTAAGTACTGCATTGCATCTCCTCCTCATGGACTGCACCAGATTTGCTGTGAGATGTTACCCCACTCATCCACCAAGGCACCTGCTAGTTCCCGGACATTTCTGGGGGGAATGGCCCTAGCCCTCACCCTCCGATCCAACAGGTCCCAGACGTGCTCCGACAGTGCAGTAATATCTAACAATTTCACAACATATACCCAATACACACAAAAAAGTAAGGAATGGGATTTAAGAATATATACATATACAGTGGGGGGGAAAAGTATTTAGTCAGCCACCAATTGTGCAAGTTCTCCCACTTAAAAAGATGAGAGGCCTGTAATTTTCATCATAGGTACACGTCAACTATGACAGACAAAATGAGAAAAAAAATCCAGAAAATCACATTGTAGGATTTTTTATGAATTTATTTGCAAATTATGGTGGAAAATAAGTATTTGGTCAACAACAAAAGTTTCTCAATACTTTGTTATATACCCTTTGTTGGCAATGACACAGGCCAAACGTTTTCTGTAAGTCTTCACAAGGTTTTCACACACTGTTGCTGGTATTTTGGCCCATTCCTCCATGCAGATCTCCTCTAGAGCAGTGATGTTTTGGGGCTGTCGCTGGGCAACACGGACTTTCAACTCCCTCCAAAGATTTTCTATGGGGTTGAGATCTGGAGACTGGCTAGGCCACTCCAGGACCTTGAAATGCTTCTTACGAAGCCACTCCTTCGTTGCCCGGGCGGTGTGTTTGGGATCATTGTCATGCTGAAAGACCCAGCCACGTTTCATCTTCAATGCCCTTGCTGATGGAAGGAGGTTTTCACTCAAAATCTCACGATACATGGCCCCATTCATTCTTTCCTTTACACGGATCAGTCGTCCTGGTCCCTTTGCAGAAAAACAGCCCCAAAGCATGATGTTTCCACCCCCATGCTTCACAGTAGGTATGGTGTTCTTTGGATGCAACTCAGCATTCTTTGTCCTCCAAACACGACGAGTTGAGTTTTTACCAAAAAGTTCTATTTTGGTTTCATCTGACCATATGACATTCTCCCAATCCTCTTATGGATCATCCAAATGCACTCTAGCAAACTTCAGACGGGCCTGGACATGTACTGGCTTAAGCAGGGGGACACGTCTGGCACTGCAGGATTTGAGTCCCTGGCGGCGTAGTGTGTTACTGATGGTAGGCTTTGTTACTTTGGTCCCAGCTCTCTGCAGGTCATTCACTAGGTCCCCCCGTGTGGTTCTGGGATTTTTGCTCACCGTTCTTGTGATCATTTTGACCCCACGGGGTGAGATCTTGTGACTGTTTGACGTTGTGGACAGGTGTCTTTTATACTGATAACAAGTTCAAACAGGTGCCATTAATACAGGTAACGAGTGGAGGACAGAGGAGCCTCTTAAAGAAGAAGTTACAGGACTGTGAGAGCCAGAAATCTGGCTTGTTTGTAGGTGACCAAATACTTATTTTCCACCATAATTTGCAAATAAATTCATAAAAAATCCTACAATGTGTTTTTCTGGAGAAAAAAAATCTCAATTTGTCTGTCATAGTTGACGTGTACCTATGATGAAAATTACAGGCCTCTCTCATCTTTTTAAGTGGGAGAACTTGCACAATTGGTGGCTGACTAAATACTTTTTCCCCCCACTGTATGGACAAGCAATGACAGAGCGGCATGGACTAAGATACAGAATAATATTATAGAATAGAATGCATTATATACATATGAGATGAGTAGTGCAAGATATGTAAACATTAAAGTGAATAGTGTTCCATTTCTTAAAGTGGCCAGTGATTTCAATAGGCAGCAGCAGCCTCTAATGTG